TTTTTCAATTTTTTTGAGGGAGGCTTGGATGGCTATGTATTTCCCCCTTAGGACTGCCTTTGCTGTATCCCATAGGTTTTGGACCAAACGGTCTTCATTCTCATTGTTTTCCATGAATTGTTTAAGTTCTTCTTTGATCTCCTGGTTGATCCAAGCATTCTTAAGCAAGGTGGTCTTTAGCTTCCAGGTGTTTGAGTTCCTTCCAAACTTTTCCTTGTGATTGAGTTCCAGTTTCAAAGCATTGTGATCTGAGAATATCCAGGGAATTATCTCAGTCTTTTGGTATCAGCTGAGCCCTGATTTGTGACCCAGTATGTGGTCTATTCTGGAGAAGGTTCCATGAGCACTTGAGAAGAATGAGTATTCTGTTGTTTTAGGGTGGAATGTTCTGTATGTATCTATGAGGTCCGTCTGGTCCAATGTGTCATTCAATGCTCTTGTTTCTTTATTGATTTTCCTCTTGGATGATCTATTACTGAGAGAGGCTTGTTAAGGTCTCCTATTATTAATGTATTCATATCAGTATGACTGTCTTGATTAATAGTTTTCTTATGTAATTGGCTGCTCCCGTATTGGGGGCATAGATATTTACAATTGTTAGATCATCTTGGTGGATAGTCCCTTTAAGAATTATGTAGTGTCCTTCTTTATCTTTGACTACAGTCTTTAGTTTAAAATCTAGTTTATCTGATATGAGAATTGCTACCCCGGCCTTCTTTTGAGGCCCATTGGCATGGAAGATGCTTCTCCATCCCTTTACTTTCAGTCTGGGTGTATCCTTAGGTTCGAAATGGGTCTCTTGTAGACAACATATGGATGGGTCCTGTGGTTTTATCCAATCTGCAACCCTGTGTCATTTTATGGGCACATTTAGGCCATTTACACTGAGAGTGATTATTGATAGATACGTTTTTATTGACATCGTGTTACCTTTGAAGTCTTTCTTTCTGTAGATTGCCTCCATATTTCTGTTCAATGATATGCTTAGGATTTTTCTCTTTTATAGAACCCCCCTTAATATTTCCTGCTGTGTCGGCTTGGTGGTCCCATACTCTTTTAAACCTTGTTGGTCTTGGGAACTCTTTATCTCTCCATCTATTTTGAATGTCAGTCTTGCTGGATAAAGTATTCTTGGCTGCATGTTCTTCTCATCTAGTGCCCTGAACACATCTTGCCAGCCCTTTCTGGCTTGCCAGGTTTCTGTGGACAGGTCTGACATTATTCTGATGGGCTTGCTGCTTTCAAGAGATCTTGTCTACAATTATGATTCCTCATTCTTACTATCAGGTGTCTTGAGGACTTTTGAGATTCTATAATTTTGGAGGGAGACCGTTCTGCCTCTAGTACATGAACACTAGTTCCATTCGTGAGATTGGGAAAATTTTCATGGAGAATTTCTTCCACTATATCTTCTAGACTTCTTTCCTTCTCCTCCCCTTCAGGGAGTCCAATAATTCTGACGTTGGAACATTTCATGGCGTCATTTATTTCCGTAATTCTGTTTTCATGGCTTCTAAGCTGTTTGTTCCAGGCTTCCTCCTGATCCTTTCTCTCTATCTGTTTGTCCTCCAGATCACTAATTCTGTCTTCTGTCTCAGTTACCCTAGCTTTTAGAGAATTTAGATTAGATTGGAACTCATTGAGAACATTGTGAACCTCATCCCTGGTGGCTTTCAGTTCTGCCCTAATTAATTACATTTTGTCATCCATGGCTTTCTCCAACTTAGCTATTGCCTGAATAATTTTTAGTCTGAATTCCCTTTCCAACATATTGTCTATGTCGGTAGCCATTAGCTCTGTTGCAGAAGGCCCAGCCTCTGAATTTTTCTTCTGTTGGGCATTCCTCCTCCTAGTCTTTTTGGTGCGATATGGCTGAATGGATGTAGCTGAATGTATCAACTGTGGTGAAGTCATGGTACACCCTGGAACACTTCTGAGCAATCAAGAGTCCTCCCACAAATGAAAGAAAAAAGAAAGAGAGAAAAAAGAAAGAGAGAGAGAGAGAGACAGGAAGAAAAAGAAAGATAAAATAAAAGAGAAGGCCCAGCCCAAATGGGCCCCAAGGTAAGATTTATGAAGTATACAAACAAAAACAGGCAAACAAAAAGACTGATGAAAGTAGATGACAAGAGAGAATATATATGTGTGTGTGTATATATATATATATATATATATATATATATATATATATATATAACAAAAAAAGAACCTCGTCAAAAAGAACTCCAAGTATAAGATTTATATACTACCAGGACAAACACAAATACAGAGAAACACTGGTGGAAGAAAAAGATGGGAGAGTGGTTATAAATTCTCAGTGTGGGCAAGGAAGGTTATTTTGATTCTTCCCAGATGTATCTTGATATCTTTGTTAAAGGACTCAACTTTCCTAAGATAAAGGGGGATTAGAAATTGGTTTACCTATAGGGGTGGCATTGATTGGGAAAGGGGATTACCTTGAAGTTTTAACTCTATATGGATATTGAAAAATAAAAATAAAAAACACACGTGCCCAGTGGGGGCTGCCAGACAGAGAGGTTTGTGTACGGGCCTGAACCATTGTGGGAGGAGCGTGTGTCCCTTGATAACGGTAATAAACTCCCACATCATCAGCTTCCACCCTGCTAATTGTCAGGGTGAAATCTGTCCCTGATCCGCTGCCACTGAACCTGTCTGGGACCCCAGGGAAACGGTTAGAAACCCTGTAGATCAGGCTCTGTGGGGACTGGCCTGACTTCTGCACGTACCAGTGCAAATAGGTGTTTCCATTACTGTGTACAAGGCTCTGACTGGCCCTGCAGGAGATGGAGGCTGCCTCTCCAGGGGTGACAGGCAGCAAGAGTGGGGTCTGAGCCAGCACGACCTCCCCACTAGATCCTAAAATAATGAGAGAGAAGTACAGATTATGGAGCAACATTATAAGCCATTTTTATGATTTTAAATTTCATTTATATGAGGTTAAATCATATTTTGTAATTTGATTCCTACTCTAAATATATCCAATCTCCCTGGATAACCGAAGAATTTCAGGGCCGGGAGTGGCCACAAGTTTTTTTTTTTTTCAGCATCTCACTAAAGCACTGTTCTATGTTCCCTTTAATTTATCATTTTTTCACGGATTTCATAATTAAATACTCCTGGCTGGAGGGCAATCTCACCTCTAGACAGAGCACACATAGGGACTAACAGCACCCAGACAGCTCACCCTCCCCACCCCAGTCTCCTTCCTCATCCCCCCTGTGCTCTTACCTGGGACCCAGAGCATCAGCAGCCCCAGGAGCTGAGAAGGGAATCTCGTTTTGAGAAGCTGAACTGATAAGTCCTAGTAATAAACACAAGCTCAGAGCTGACCTTTATGTCAGACTTCCAAGGCAAGGTCCTCCCCAGGGGACAATATGCAAATCCTGTGGTGGGTGTGGCAGAGTGGAAAGAGCCAAAGTCAGGGTACTGGTCCCTCTCCTGGGAGAGCAGTAACTTAAAATGTCTTCTGTGTTTGGAGGAAACCTAACAGAGACAAATTCTGTACTGCTTGTGTGGGAAGCAGCTTCTCCCTGCAATAATCAGGATCTGTGGCAGGACACCGTGCTCATAGCCCTGCCTTCTGAGAAAGCTCCAGAGACCCTGACAATACAGGCATGTGTTTCAGAGTCCATGTCTGGCAGGTGAAGGGCCATCCTGCTTGGATTCCTGTCAGCTAATGTCCAGAAGGAAACAGGTCCCACTCCCACTCCAGCTGACTGGCTGGTGATCTCCAGACCCCAGGATGAACTATCGTCTCTGGGATGTGCTGTTTCCAGGTTAATGGCTTTAGACAACTTAATAATGATTTTAAGTGAATTAAAGTAACCCAGGACCAGCTGAATTATCTACTCTTTGAGAAGATGAAAGTGAGAGGGACTTGACAGGTAGAAAGGAATCTCTCACTTATAGGAGGAGAGCTCATAGTCCTGCAGAAGAGAATAGGAGAGAAGACAGAATTTTATGCTTCAGGCAGTGAGTATGAAATTTGTGGTAACCATTTGTTACAATGTGGTGTGTATCCTGTCATACTTCTGTCTCCCTCCCCAGAAAGACTGATAGATGGATAGGTGGATAGTAGGCAAGACAGACAGATGATAGACACATACTCACCACATGATGCATATTAGATAAGGTAGACACACTCACACACATACCATATCAAACAAAGAGATTTCTTAAGTCAACATTGCCTAAGAGGATGGACAGAATGAGTAATGTTTCCCCTTTCCCAGAAAACAATGTTTTCCCTTCCCACACAGAGGCTTCCTCATCATGTGTATTCAGTGTCTGTCAGGGGGTCTGGTTCCTTGTTAGCTCTATGTGAGAAGTTGTTGTCTCTCACTTGGCTTTTATGTTCAGCACCCACAGCTCTGAATCTATAGTTGAAAATGAGATTCTGTAGGTGAGAATAACAAGGACTGGGATAGAACTTCTAATAATTGGGCATCACCCATACCTATGATGGATATTTTCTGAGGTCTTCGGTGAACCACAGTCGCTGTGAAACACAGTGCGGGGTCAGAGCTGCCCGGGGCATCAGTTTACCAACCTTCCTTCATTAAAGTGGGGACATAACCTGATGATTCTGCCTGTGTCAGCCTGATGTAGGTGTTAGTCAATCGTTGGTGAGAAATGTGTCAACCTCAAAGTACTTCAAAACTCAAGTCACTGTCAGGAAAAAAAATCCTGGAAAAACTGAAGGAATAGAATTTGTAGTTCTGTTAGATCTCAGGGAATTCAAATCCAAGGTCATACTGAATTGAAGAGTTACTGAATATATGCAAGTCCAGGCAAGGTGACACAACAAATCTCGGTCTGAGTATCTTCTAGGAAATCCCCCTAGAGTGCGATTTTGTACCATAGTTGGAAGAACTATTATGTAATAATGGTACTGAAAGTAAACCCTAAACTCTATGGAGGGACTTGGGTGCTGATGACAAGTTGTGATAGAACTAGGACTAATAGCCCATGTCCCCTATGCTACTAGCTGTCATTTTATTTACTCTTCCATGTGTTTTCTCCCTTGATCTTTTCTTAGAGTGCTAGCCAATGCAATCCTGAATCTTACTCTTGAACATGCCGGCCCACCTAATGAATCCTGCTGGTGAGTGATTCAGAAAGCTTACCCACTGATATGAGAAAAATCAGGAAAAAACATAAAGGAAAATGTAAGATAATATTATAAATCTTAAGATGAGTTTGAAAACCATTAATTACACATGTTAAATTAAGAATCACAATATCTAACACTATGTGTCAAATATAATACAAAAGGTCAGAATCACATTAGCCATTATCATGTGTGAAACCTCAATGTGTGGAAATTTGGCTGAAAATTATTCATCCATCATGTTTGTTTACTGTGTATCAGTTTTGAAACTATTTTTTGTACAATGTATTCCTAAGAGTGCTTGAACTTCAAAAACATTACTATTTCCTACAAAACTTAACATGAAAACTTTAAAAGTCTCCTTTTGTGTTTGGTTGTTTATCTCCTAATTTCTTGCCCCGAAATACTGAAAAAATTCAAAACCTTCTAAAAGTTCTTTTTTGACAGAGAAGGCTTTGAAATTTTCCTCTGCTACCTGTAGACTGAAGAAAGACTGTTCGTATTTCCTAAGAGGAGTCTATATCTCCTGTGTCTGTAGGAACTTTGTTGTACCCTGGACAATAAAATGACTTCATCAGTGTTGGTCACTGCACACCACACAGAAATCACTGGCATCTGTAAGGGATGTAAGAAGAACCCCCATGAGGTCCAGGTGGGGAACAGGACTCTGGGAGTCTCTAATCCTGACCACCATCACCTCAATGAGCAAGGACTTATGCAGGTGGATTTTATTGCACTTTTGTCTCTTGGCCAGGGGATGTCCCTTTGGAATCCATAAAAGTGGAAGCCAATGTGTCATTTGTGTCCCTTGGGTCAGTTCTCTTGCTGCTTTGTTTATGTGAGTCCATTTATTCTGGGGTCAGGATGTGTGGGTGGGGAGTGTGATGCTGTTATCCATTCTGTAGAAATTGATCTATACATTTTCTCAAGCCAGACAGCACAAACTTACAATGCTTTGGTGAATTTGAGAGACAAAACGCAAGTTCTCAGTGCCATAGCAGAGGGAGTGTCGCCAACAGGAGGTGTTGGGTAGATTTTTGGGACCTGTGACTGAAATGGGTCACCTTTTCTAAATAACTGCAAATATTCACCCACTAGAGGATGAACTCACAGAGAATAGTTTTGGCTCCAGGCGACTCCCATATATATGTGAATGTGTTGATCTTCTGACTTATAAATTATTTGAAAACTCTGATCTCTGTATACGTAATCTGAATTCCTTCCCAATATTGTCATTTCTTTTCTTTGCACTTTTTGGAATAACTAATAGAGAAATAAATTTTCTAGAGCTGAGATTCATGTCAGTCCTGTGAAGAAATGGGAGCAATGTCCTTTGTCAGCTGTGAAGATTATTCCTATATTGATGCTAATCCTTGGGCAGGGCCCAGTCACCTCACTCTAATCAGGGAAGTGAGACAGAAGTTCCCTTTGACCACAGGCCACCTCATAATCCCTCATTTTAATAAACTCTTAACTCTGTGTTAGCAGTTTGCATCGCCAACTCAAAGTGTCTCCTGTGAGGGATGAAACTTCTGAACTGAGGATTCTCAAGGAGTCCTACAGCTTTCTTGTTAGTTAAAAAATATTCTTCCACTGCTTTAATTGGGGATGGATTGTTTGTTTGTGTGTTTTCTTTTTCTCTGTGGACAACTTGTTCCCTTGTCTCCTCCACCAGAGCACTGCCTTCCCCTGTGTCCTTCTAACAGAAAGCTCTCTCATCAGGGCAGAGAGGACACATTCAGAGCTCAAGCCTTAAGCCTCGAGTTCCTTAGGGAAAATAAAAAGCAAGATTTTCTCCATACATCCATGGGAAAACCTTAAGGTATTTCCTTTGAGATCTGGCCTTCGCTGAGTCAATGTGCTTGAGAGTAGGAACTGACTTAGGTCTAGGAACGGAGTCAGAAGCTGTGACTTTAGGCTTCAGCAACCCTGAGCAAGAGTTTTCCAGTTAGAGAGACAAAATATCTGAGGGTCAGCACATTGATTTAATTTCTCATAACATGTGCTCAATTATCTACTGCCACAATCTCTCTTTCTGACATCATCCTGTCCCTGTGCATTTTGGAAAATGGACAGCTTCTGCCTATGCAGGTTATTCTGGCCATGTGGTATGTGCTATTCTCTAACGTCACTGGTCACAGGCATTGTTCCCCGGAAAGCAGACTCACATCGAGTATAGCATGTGTGACACTGGCTGGGGAATGTTCTCGACATCACCATCTGCGGAAGGAAAATGCAGGATTGTGCAGAGGGGGAGTGGAGCTCGGATGCAGTAGGACAAAAGACTAAGCCAGTCCCCCAGGGGGTGAAGCCCTGTGGTCGCCCTCCAGAGTGGACCTGACTGGGGACACACGGGTCAGATCCTTACCCGGGATATCATTGCTTCCTCTCCTGCTGTACCTTCAAGCAGGTGTGATGCACCTACAGAGGAGCAGGCCTTTTCATCGTGGTTCCTCCTTTCTCCTCAGATTCCCTCACTTTCACCTTTATTTTTGTTCTTTATGGAATGTATGGAGAGTCTATAAGACTATTTTTGTCATCACTCTGGGACTTTGGTTTTTTATTAGAGGAGTTTTTTAAGTTTGTGACAGGAATGAAAAAGGACTTTAGCTTTGTTCAGGGAAGACCTCACATCTGGGTCTATATCCATCCCATGTGTATATTTCGGGAGGAGACTGATGTCCCCGCACATTGTGGAGAAGGTGTCCCCACTGTCGCAGACCCTGAGCACAAGGAACCACCTGGGGGTGGAGAAGCTCCAGTGCACAGAAGCCAGGTGGCGGTCCCTGTCCAGCTGTGTGGAGAACACCAAGCACTTTCAAGATGGAGTTTCCTCAGGTGCACCGCCTCCTGGCTCTTGGTCTGCTCTCAGTGGCTTCGCGTCCACACTTCATCGTCCAGAGCAGCTGCCTGTGGCTCTGCAGGGTGGCATGGAGACCCCTGCTTGATAAGGACTAGCCCATCGGGAGTGTCATCGTCTAATGGGAGTGAAGAAGGACCTCTGTCTCTGACCAGCTGTAGACACGGGGTTCCATGATTCCCTCCTCAGGTGTGATTAGTTTGCTAGAGCAGCTCACATCACTTAGAGATACATCTACTTATGTTTCCCAGGTTATTAAAAAATATGATAAAGACTCAGATGAAGAGCTAGATGGAGAGATACACAGCAGGGACTGGGAG